ATATCGTATATATATTTAACAAAGAGGTTGGTCAATATTTTTTTTAATATGGTTGACTTGCAGTGTTTTTAACATCCTTAACTTGCGGAGTTTAATAACCTTGACTTGCACTGTTTAACAAAATGACTTGCAGTATTTAACAACCTTGACTTGCAGTATTTAACCTTGACTCGAAGTATTTAACAACCTTGACTTGCACTGTTTAACAACCTTGACTTGCAGTATTTAACAACCTTGACTTGCAGTATTTAACCTTGACTCGAAGTATTTAACAACCTTGACTTGCACTGTTTAACAACCTTGACTTGCAGTATTTAACAACCTTGACTTGCAGTATTTAACAACCTTGACCTGCAGTATTTGACAACCTTGATTTGCACTGTTTAACAACCGTGACTTGCAGCATTTAGCAACCTTGACTTGCAGCATTTAACAACCCTGACTTGCACTGTTTAACAACCTTGACTTGCAGTATTTAACAACCTTGATTTGCAGCATTTAACAACCTTGACTTGCAGTATTTAACAACCTTGACTTGCAGTATTTAACAACCTTGACTTGCAGTATTTAACAACCTTGACTTGCAGTATTTAACAACCTTGACTTGCAGTATTTAACAACCTTGACTTGCAGCATTTAGCAACCTTGACTTGCAGCATTTAACAACCTTGACTTGCAGTATTTAACAACCTTGACTTGCAGTATTTAACAACCTTGACCTGCAGTATTTAACAACCTTGACTTGCAGTATTTAACAACCTTGACTTGCACTGTTTAACAACCTTGACTTGCAGTATTTAACAACCTTGACTTGCAGTATTTAACAACCTTGACTTGCAGTATTTAACAACCTTGACTTGCAGTATTTAACAACCTTGACTTGCAGCATTTAGCAACCTTGACTTGCAGCATTTAACAACCTTGACTTGCAGTATTTAACAACCTTGACTTGCAGTATTTAACAACCTTGACTTGCAGCATTTAACAACCTTGACTTGCAGCATTTAACAACCTTGACTTGCAGTATTTAACAACCTTGATTTGCACTGTTTAACAACCTTGACTTGCAGCATTTAACAACCTTGACCTGCAGTATTTAACAACCTTGACTTGCAGTATTTAACAACCTTGACTTGCAGCATTTAACAACCTTGACTTGCAGCATTTAACAACCTTGACTTGCAGCATTTAACAACCTTGACTTGCAGTATTTAACAACCTTGACTTGCAGCATTTAACAACCTTGACTTGCAGTATTTAACAACCTTGACCTGCAGTATTTAACAACCTTGATTTGCACTGTTTAACAACCTTGACTTGCAGTATTTAACAACCTTGACTTGCAGTATTTAACAACCTTGACTTGCACTGTTTAACAACCTTGACTTGCACTGTTTAACAACCTTGACTTGCAGTATTTAACAACCTTGACTTGCAGTACTTAACAACCTTGACTTGCAGCATTTAACAACCTTGACTTGCAGTATTTAACAACCTTGGCTCGCAGTATTTAACAACCTTGACTTGCACTGTTTAACAACCTTGACTTGCAGTATTTAACCTTGACTTGTAATGTTTAACAACCTTGACTTGCAGTATTTAACAACCTTGACTTGCACTGTTTAACAACCTTGACTTGCAGTATTTAACAACCTTGACTTGCAGTATTTAACAACTTTGACTTGCAGTATTTAACAACCTTGACCTGCAGTATTTTACAACCTTGATTTGCACTGTTTAACAACCTTGACTTGCAGTATTTAACAACCTTGACTCGTAGTATTTAACCTTGGCTTGCAGTATTTAACAACTTTGACTTGCAGTATTTAACAACCTTGACCTGCAGTATATAACAACCTTGACTTGCACTGTTTAACAACCTTGACTTGCAGCATTTAACAACCTTGACCTGGAGTATTTAACAACCTTGACCTGCAGTATATAACAACCTTGACTTGCACTGTTTAACAACCTTGACTTGCAGCATTTAACAACCTTGACCTGGAGTATTTAACAACTTAGATGCAGTATTTTAATAACTTTGACGTGAATTGTTTAACAAACTTGACTTGCAGTGTTTAACAACCTTGACTTGCAGTATTTAACAACCTTGACTTGCAGTGTTCAACAACCTTGCTTTCAGTATTTAACAATCTTGACTTGCAGTGTTTAACAACCTTGACTTGCAGTGTTCAACAACCTTGACTTGAACATTAAAATGGTATAAAATACCGACATTTTATACCATTTTAATGTTCAATCTGTCAGACACTGCAACACAAGGGTATCTTGGTACAGACCTGCAATCAACATCGACAACTTCCACTAGTGAGAGGGGCTGGATTTGAGAGGGACCTGACCTCTCAACATCTGAGTTCTTACCTCTCCTAGTGGCCTACGTCTCACCTCTTGGCGCTATAAAAAGCTCCATCCTGTCAATTCCTCTCCATATTGTTTCATACTATGGAGCAATGCTCTTCTCCAGACTGAGGGACTGACCACCTCAAAACTTTAAGGGTGATGGACTGATTACATCGTCTTCAAGTATCTTCTGCTTCTATCAACTTTTCTGTACTTGACTGAAGAAGCCTACTGTGTAGGCGAAACGTTTCATAATAAAGATACCTAACTGTTGCACATGTGTCTTACCTAACAACCTTGACTTGCAGTATTTAACAACCTTGACTTGCAGTGTTTAACAACCTTGACTTGCAGTGTTCAACAACCTTGCTTTCAGTATTTAACAATCTTGACTTGCAGTGTTTAACAACCTTGACTTGCAGTATTTAACAACCTTGACTTGCAGTGTTCAACAACCTTGCTTTCAGTATTTAACAATCTTGACTTGCAGTGTTTAACAACCTTGACTTGCAGTATTTAACAACCTTGACCTGCAGTATTTAACAACCTTGACTCGCACTGTTTAACAACCTTGACTTGCAGTGTTCAACAACCTTGCTTTCAGTATTCAACAATCTTGACTTGCAGTGTTTAACAACCTTGACTTGCAGTATTTAACAACCTTGACTTGCAGTGTTCAACAACCTTGCTTTCAGTATTCAACAATCTTGACTTGCAGTGTTTAACAACCTTGACTTGCAGTATTTAACAACCTTGACCTGCAGTATTTAATAACCTTGACTTGCAGTGTTTAACAACCTTGACTTGCAGTATTTAACAACCTTGACCTGCAGTATTTAATAACCTTGACTTGCAGTGTTTAACAACCTTGACTTGCAGTATTTAACAACCTTGACCTGCAGTATTTAATAACCTTGACCTGCAGTATTTAATAACCTTGACTTGCAGTGTTTAACAACCTTGACTTGCAGTATTTAACAACCTTGACTTGCAGTGTTCAACAACCTTGCTTTCAGTATTCAACAATCTTGACTTGCAGTGTTTAACAACCTTGACTTGCAGTATTTAACAACCATGACCTGCAGTATTTAACAACCTTGACTTGCAGTATTTAACAACCTTGACTTGCAGTATTTAACAACCTTGACTCGCAGTGTTTAACAACCTTGACCTGCAGTATTTAATAACCTTGACTCGCAGTGTTTAACAACCTTGACTTGCAGTATTTAACAACCTTGACCTGCAGTATTTAATAACCTTGACTCGCAGTGTTTAACAACCTTGACTTGCAGTATTTAATAACCTTGACTCGCAGTGTTTAACAACCTTGACTTGCAGTATTAACAACCTTGACCTGCAGTATTTAATAAAACCTTGACTCGCAGTGTTTAACAACCTGACTTGCAGTATTTAACAACCTTGACCTGCAGTATTTAATAACCTTGACTCGCAGTGTTTAACAACCTTGACTTGCAGTGTTGAGTATAAAGGCTTCCGTAGACAGACTCATCTGTATAATTTTCTATTGTTGTTGGATTTCATTAATATGCCCTCGTAATAAAAGCTTTACCAAGGATAACTGCATACTACCTATCCTGGGAAAAATTTTACTCTACAGCTCCACAATGAATCATTACATATTACATATCCTGGGATAAATATTACCTTGCAATTGCACCAAGGATAACTACATGTTACTTATCCTGGGATAAATGTTACCCTGAAGCTCCACCCATATTACCTGTCCTGGGATAAATATTAACCTGCAGGTTTCTTCCTGATCTCTCAGTCTCTTTAACAAGGAACGAGAAACTAAGTTAGGTTAAGAAGATTAAGTAGGGTAGTTTTTCACCAGAGTAATTTACTAAAAGTTACGAAACTTTCTGGCGTTTCTTCTGCTCTCACGTTGCAACCCTCCAAGGAAAGTGCCGGTGAAGGACTCATGATTCAAGGAATACGAGCTCTCCTCCTTGGATCGAATTTCATTATCTCCCCTTCTTCAAATGTTATATTCATATGATTAACTCTTCCCCATATACTATTTTCTACACAGAAGATTGCACTACAGCAACCTCATGGTTGATAGGTACTGTCTGCCGATGACACGGTTCTTTTGGGAGATTTTCTATAGAGGTTGAAAACGTTGGTGGAGTAAATTGTTAAGGTATGTGAAAGTAGAAAATTTAACGTGAACGTAGGAAAGAACGTGATGAAAGTAAACATTTACACGTGCAGTTATCAGTACACACGTGAGCTTAACACAAGTGCACTTATCATTACGATCAGATTAGGAACTGACTAAGCGAATATTGCTAAAACAACCATAAACACGAGCGTACTATTATAAAATATTACGTGTAAATAAATAGTACAGTATTACGTGTCTTAAAGCTTGGAAAACAAGTTTTCAAGGTGTATTTAAACCTCATATTTTCTGGTAAACCATCAACCAAAATATCATTATTGGCACTCATTGCTATTCATATTAAGGTGAAGCATTCAAATGACACAATTCTCGGTCTAGGAATGGTGAATTTGCTTCACAGTTATAATGACTTTGACATGTATTTCACTCTTATAACGACGTCTACATGACGTGGGGCAGAGCCTGGCGCAAGAACTAACATGATGGTACTCACGTCAAGGAGGGCGTGGAGTTGTGTATCTTCCAGGACGGAGAGCAGGAAGTCACGGTCCTTGACAGGACATTCCTGCAGGCACTGGATGTCGTCCAGGGAGTCCAGCACCACGCTTACTGCTCCTGGGGGAAACATACACCCACTTATGATTTTGTATATGTATGATATACATTACCGACAAGATGAAGAATTAGACATGTGCAACATCTGGGTATCTTTATTGTAAACGTTTCGTCATCCAGTGGCTTTATCAATAAAAATTCAAGGCCGTAATTGGAAGACAGTAGAACTATATATAAAATCTGAGGTAATCAGTCCCTTAGCCTTGGAGTTAGTGAAGAGTATCGTAGTCTTCTGACTCTTCACGACTACGGTGCTCTTCACTAACTCCAAGGCTGCGGGACTGATTACCTCATCTTTTGTATACAGTTCTACTGTCTTCAATAAATAAATAACAAAAAGGCACAATACCGTGACTGGAACGATACACAAATAACCCGCACATAAAAGAGAGAAGCTTACGACGACGTTTCGGTCCGACTTGGACCATTGACAAAGTCACACTAACAGAGGTGGAGCAGGACGGCTATATATAGGCAGGAAGAGGTGGAGGTAGTAGTAGTAGTAGTACAAGAAATGTATGTAATACCGACAGGATGAAATGACACATGCACAACACCCGGGCATCCCCACCGTAGACGTTTCGCCATCCAGCCAGCCATTGGATGGCGAAACGTCCACAACGAAGATAACCAGACGCCGCACATGTGTCTTAATTTCATCAGTAGTTGTAGTAGAAGAAGAAGAGGTAGTAGTAGTGGTAGTGGTAGAAGTGGGAAATAAGGAAGACGAGCCAGTCAAATACAAAGGAAGGGGAGCACTGCAAGAGAGCTAGAAACCCACAGAGGGAGAGCAAGCGCACCGAGGTGCGTGAAAGGGGAAGTGGTGAAATAAAATAAATGAAGAAGGAACAGAAACACGAGACAGGAGAGAGAAAGACAACCCAGAGAGAAAAGGAGAGAGGAAAGGGGAAGAGGAAGAAGAAAAAGAAGAAGACGAAGAAGAAGAAGAAAGAATGAGGATTCAGGTTAAGTCACGGGTGTTCTGAAGTTTGGAGCATTTTACAATGTAGTGGGAGAGGAAGGCATCTACAGAGACGAAGCCAGGGCTAAGGTTCATACAAGGAAAGTTGTGTATTAGAGAGGATTCAACTAAACGGCGACTGTTCGAGTTGGAAGTAGGGAAGACAGTTTTAGCAGAAGACCAGTCAATAGGATGGCTATGATCTCTGACGTGACAGAAAAGAGCATTGTTAGTGTCGGCAAGCCTAACACTATTTTTGTGCTCCCTAAGTCTGTCAGAAAGAGATCGACCAGTTTCTCCGAAGTATTGAAGAGGACAGGAGGAGCAAGAAATAGAGTAGACACCAGGAACATCTGTAGAGGAGAGAGAGGTATGAACGAGATTAGTGCGAAGAGTGTTAGTCTGGCGGAAGGTAAGCTTGATGTCTAAGGGACGGAGAGAATTGTTGAGATTAGAAAGACCGGAAATGTAGGGAAGGCAGAGGATAGAAGAGTTCCCATGAGTAGAGAGTTTGGGAGAGAAGAAATTGCGTTTAGCACGTGAGAGGGCAGAGTCTATGAAATGGGAAGGGTAGCCAAGACGGGAGAACGAATTATGAAGAGTGGAAATTTCTGCTGGAAGGAACTGAGGATCACAGATGCGGAGGGCACGGAGAAAGAGGGAGATAAGAACACTTTTCTTGACAGGGGAAGCATGATAGGAAAAGTAGTGAATGTACATGCCACTGTGCATAGGTTTACGGTAAACGGAAAAGGAAAAACCTGTATCTGAGCGGTGGACATGGACATCAAGGAAAGGAAGTAAGGAATTAGATTCCCATTCAGCTTTAAACTTAATGGAAGGGGCAAGATTTTAAGAGCTTCAAGAAAAGGTTGGAAGAGACTGGAGTCATGAGGCCACAGAGCAAAGATGTCATCCACATAGCGGAGCCAGAGTGAAGGTTGCACATCGAGGGTAGGAAGAAGAACAGTCTCGAAGTATTCCATGTAAAGATTAGCAAGGACAGGAGAGAGAGGAGAGCCCATAGCGACACCGAAGGTTTGAGAATAATATTTCCTTTGGAAGGAAAAGGAGTTAGAGTCCACACAGAGGCGGATCAGATCAAGAAAGACATCAGTGGGGATAGGGAGATGAAGAAACCCTTCATGGGCCTTCTCTCTAAGGAAATCAAGGACACTCACGCACCTACACTCCTCTCGTTTCCAACCCTCTTGATCGCATCAAGAGAACCTTCAACAAAAAACTAAGGACTCTCTCCGACCTCTGTCCTCCTGACTTTGACCTTGTTCAACGGTTTCGTGTCATCTGTCCCTCTCTTCCCTATTTCTATGGCCTTCCCAAAACTCATAAACCTGATATTCCTCTTCGCCCTATCATATCCTCTAGAGGTTCTGTCTCTTATTCTCTTGCTTCTTGGCTGGCCAAAACCCTCACTCCCTTTCTTGGTACTTTTCTCTCTGCCCACCTCCGTCACTCTCAAGACTTCATTGAACGGGTTCGCTCTCTCCCAACCTGTAAGATGCTTAGTCTTGACGTTGAGTCCCTCTTCACCAATGTCCCTCTTGATAATGTCCTTGATTTCCTTAGAGAGAAGGCCCATGAAGGGTTTCTTCATCTCCCTATCCCCACTGATGTCTTTCTTGATCTGATCCGCCTCTGTGTGGACTCTAACTCCTTTTCCTTCCAAGGGAAATATTATTCTCAAACCTTCGTGTGTCGCTATGGGCTCTCCTCTCTCTCCTGTCCTTGCTAATCTTTACATGGAATACTTCGAGACTGTTCTTCTTCCTACCCTCGATGTGCAACCTTCACTCTGGCTCCGCTATGTGGATGACATCTTTGCTCTGTGGCCTCATGACTCCAGTCTCTTCCAACCTTTTCTTGAAGCTCTTAACAATCTTGCCCCTTCCATTAAGTTTAAAGCTGAATGGGAATCTAATTCCTTACTTCCTTTCCTTGATGTCCATGTCCACCGCTCAGATACAGGTTTTTCCTTTTCCGTTTACCGTAAACCTATGCACAGTGGCATGTACATTCACTACTTTTCCTATCATGCTTCCCCTGTCAAGAAAAGTGTTATCTCCCTCTTTCTCCGTGCCCTCCGCATCTGTGATCCTCAGTTCCTTCCAGCAGAAATTTCCACTCTTCATAATTCGTTCTCCCGTCTTGGCTACCCTTCCCATTTCATAGACTCTGCCCTCTCACGTGCTAAACGCAATTTCTTCTCTCCCAAACTCTCTACTCATGGAACTCTTCTATCCTCTGCCTTCCCTACATTTCCGGTCTTTCTAATCTCAACAATTCTCTCCGTCCCTTAGACATCAAGCTTACCTTCCGCCAGACTAACACTCTTCGCACTAATCTCGTTCATACCTCTCCTCCCTCTACAGATGTTCCTGGTGTCTACTCTATTTCTTGCTCCTCCTGTCCTCTTCAATACTTCGGAGAAACTGGTCGATCTCTTTCTGACAGACTTAGGGAGCACAAAAATAGTGTCAGGCTTGCCGACACTAACAATGCTCTTTTCTGTCACGTCAGAGATCATAGCCATCCTATTGACTGGTCTTCTGCTAAAACTGTCTTCCCTACTTCCAACTCGAACAGTCGCCGTTTAGTTGAATCCTCTCTAATACACAACTTTCCTTGTATGAACCTTAGCCCTGGCTTCGTCTCTGTAGATGCCTTCCTCTCCCACTACATTGTAAAATGCTCCAAACTTCAGAACACCCGTGACTTAACCTGAATCCTCATTCTTTCTTCTTCTTCTTCGTCTTCTTCTTTTTCTTCTTCCTCTTCCCCTTTCCTCTCTCCTTTTCTCCTCTGGGTTGTCTTTCTCTCTCCTGTCTCGTGTTTCTGTTCCTTCTTCATTTATTTTATTTCACCACTTCCCCTTTCACGCACCTCGGTGCGCTTGCTCTCCCTCTGTGGGTTTCTAGCTCTCTTGCAGTGCTCCCCTTCCTTTGTATTTGACTGGCTCGTCTTCCTTATTTCCCACTTCTACCACTACCACTACTACTACCTCTTCTTCTACTACAACTACTGATGAAATTAAGACACATGTGCGGCGTCTGGTTGTCTTTGTTGTGGACGTTTCGCCATCCAGTGGCTGGCTGGATGGCGAAACGTCTACGGTGGGGATGCCCGGGTGTTGTGCATGTGTCATTTCATCCTGTCGGTATTACATACATTTCTTGTACTACTACTACTACTACTACTACCTCCACCTCTTCCTGCCTATATATAGCCGTCCTGCTCCACCTCTGTTAGTGTGACTTTGTCAATGGTCCAAGTCGGACCGAAACGTCGTCGTAAGCTTCTCTCTTTTATGTGCGGGTTATTTGTGTATCTACTGTCTTCACATTATATCCTTGAATTTATATTGATAAAGCCACTGGATGGCGAAACATCGATAATAAAGACACCCAGATATTGTACCGTGCCTAATTTTTCTACTTTGTTTCTAAACCTGAATCTCTAATCCACAACTTAACCACTTCACTTATTAATATCAAAGACTATCTCTTGTTAAAAATTTTTTTAGCATTTATGAAAACCTAATAAAGCTCCGTGATTATTTTGATCATTTTTAAACCCGGACTAATTTTTTTTAAAAGGGGCTAACATTAACATTTATAACTTCGTGAAATACATCAAAGAATAATACAAATCTTTTACCATTAGGCTAACAAAAGATAAAAACTATTTTTTTTTTTCCAAGGCTAATTAGCCTTTTTTTATTAAAAGGGCAAAGCCTTTTTGTTTTTTTCCAAGGCAATTACCTTTATGTTTATTCCAAGCTAATTACCCTTTTGTTTTTTTCCAAAGGGCTAAAAAAAAAAAAATGACGAACGGAAAAATTTATGTCACAAAATTAAAGGGTACGGGTTGAGGTTTTTTTAAAAACCCCTCGCTTTGTTTGAATAAAAAAAACTTTATCAAAGCATATTTTTTAGTATTGTAAAATCGGACAAAAAGTTGAAAAAAAAACATAAAATTTAAAAAAGTTCCATGAAACTGCAAAATTAAACTTCGAGTCTCG